ATCTATCTATTTATTTTGCTTTCAGTAATGTTGGGTCCAAACCTAGCTATGTAGCATTGTGATGTTCACTGTGTGATCCTTGACTGGCTGTGTCAGGGGTCAGCAAACTTTTTCAGCAGGGGGCCGGTCCACTGTCCCTCAGACCTTATGGGGGGCCGGACTATATATTTTTTTTGGGGGGGATGAACAAATTCCTATGCCCCACAACTAACCCAGAGATGCATTTTAAATAAAAGCACACTTTCTACTCATGTAAAAACACGCTGATTGGATGGTCTGGATTGAGAAGGCGATTGGGCCACATCTGGCCCCTGGGCCTTAGGTTGCCTACCCATGGGCTATGTTCACTCAACGGAGAAAGCAAAATTTCAAAGCAGCAATATACAGAGAAGAAACAATTAAGTGATTAACATTTTTTTAAATTAAAAAAAGTGGAAAATTGCATATATTGTTAGGGAGGTGATTGGAAACCTCAAAACTAAAAGAAGCATTGGCGTACAACCCTTGTTTTTAACCCATTTCTTCATCCTGCCATTTGCTTCTCTTCAAGCAACGACAGGATCACCACCTGTAGAGCTTTTCTTCAAATGAAAGGCATTTCTGAAATGGAAGGGTTCATTCTCATAAGCACTCCTGAAATGTCAGCTGCTGCTTGCTGTCTCTCAGAGGAGAGAATTTGCAGCATTATGCACTCTTCCCTTTGTCAGCTTAATGCAACCGACCGCTTGCTATCCCTGTAACATTGATCAGATGTAGAGCTATGGGCTGTTGTCACTTTCCTAGGGTGGCTCCTTCCACACCTGCAGTGTTCTCTGGATATAATCTCTGCACACCAGCCTGCACTAGTGGAAAAAAAAGGTAAAGGGACCCCTGACCATTAGGTCCAGTCGTGGAAAGCATGAAATTTTGAATGAAAGAATGGATGTAGCTCCAGTCTGTTTAAAGCCAAATTTTAACTAGATCACAGGGAGCCTGAGATGCTGCTAAAAAAAGATTTGTCAGAGGAGTCGAACCTGAGGAAAAGTGAGGGGGGAGAGATAGCAAACTCTCAGAGACTTAAATGGCAATGAATGACTCATTCTGCGCCAGGCTGGGCGGTGGGGCGGGGGAGCAGCTCTTTGTTTATCATGGTTAGCTAAATAGCACCCAGTGGCTTAGGACAAAATGGGCCACTCTGAAAATACTTTTGCTAAAGACTTGCGCATTTTCTGGGCTTAGTTACACGATTGGTGGGGTTAGGAGATGTCATTCTCATGGTATCTGAAATCTGCATGCAGTCTGCCTTGGCTTGCCTCCTGAAATCACCTTTTGGGGGTGTCTGCAGTAATGCAACTTGTTTGTATGGTTCAGTGTGGTTGAGAATGTCATGTCTATGGGCCACACAATTAAAGTTACATGTTATTACCAGCAATTAAAGTGTTTGCAATATAATTAATATTATTTGACATACCAAATTAGTTTGTGTGCATTTATTTATTAAACAAATTTAATACACAATCTTAGGTGAGTTACTAACAGATAGATTCACAGCACGGAAATGTGGGAGAACCCAGGATTTGGGTGTGTGAGGTAGAATCTGACCCCTGAAATCCTGCCAGGGGAAGATCTGAGCATGTCACAAGTCTGAGGTCCCCTTTCCTTCTTGGTGTGTGTGTGTGTGTGTGTGTGAGAGAGAGAGAGAGAGAGAGAGAGAGAGAGAGAGAGAGATTCCCCTGCATTGGGTACGAAACCAAGGGGGCAGGAGAGGTGAAGGCTCCGGCAGAGTCCTAGAGACTTCCCATCTCTTTTCCAAACCTGGGAAAGCACTAAGCTTTGGGGAAGAGGCAGGAAGACTAGGGCCTGTCCCACACGGAGCCACCAAAAAAAGCCCACATGCTGCTTTTGTCCTGGCCACATGTTGGACCACTTTGATCTAAAGAGTAGGCCAGGCAAGGTCATTGTGTGGCTAACTGCCACAATAGGGTTCTTAAAATATTAATACAGTGGTGCCTCACAAGACGAAATTAATCCGTTCCGCGAGTGTCTTTGTCTAGCGGTTTTTTCGTCTTGCGAAGCAACCCTATTAGCGGCTTAACAGATTAGCGCTATTAGCGGTTTAGCGGCTATTAAAGGCTTATTGGCTTAGCGGATTAGCTGCTAAAAGGCTATTAAAGGCTTAGCGGCTTAGATAAAGGGGGGGGGGAAGCGAAAAAAATCTTTTTTTTAAAAAAAATAATTTTTATTAAGGTTTCAATAAAAAGTTGAACAGAAAAATCATAAAAAAGAAATACACAAATACACAATACAAATTCCAAAAAAAGAAAACAAAAACAAAAAACAACAAAAAAGAAACAGAACAATTAAAAACAATATCACTTTTTCATTTCCCTTTTTTAAATTTACTTATTTTCTGGACTTCCTCATACCTCCCTCTTTTGTATTCCAGTCCCAATTGTTCCTCCAGCAATTTCTTTTCCGCTTTTTTAATCCCAGTCTTTATTCTTAGTGTAATATAGCATTAAAAATTTACCTCTTAAGTACCAAATTTCCCTTTCCTTTAACTTATTTACTCCTAATCTTTAATCTTGATGTAATATAGCATTAAAATTTTACCTCTTAAGTACCAAATTTCCGTTTCCTTAAACTTCTTTAATCCTGATCTTTAATCTTAGTCTGTCTTATAATTTTATCCTGTACAGCTGGAAACCACTTATTTTCAATCCAACATTACTCTAACATTCCTTAATTTTGCAATGTTTCTGTAGGTAGTCTTTGAATTTCTTCTAATCTTCTTCCATCGCCTCTTCTCCCTGGTCACGGATTCTGCCAGTCATTTCCACCAGTTCCATATAGTCCATCAGTTTCATCTGCCATTCCTCCAGCGTGGGAAGTTCTTGTGTCTTCCAATACTTTGCGATAAGTATTCTTGCTGCTGTTGTTGCATACATAAAGAAAGTTCTATCCTTTTTTAACACCATTTGGCCGACTATGCCCAGGAGAAAGGCCTCTGGTTTCTTAGGGAAGGTATATTTAAATACCTTTTTTAATTCATTATATATCATTTCCCAGAAAGCCTTAATCTTTGGGCACGTCCACCAAAGGTGAAAAAATGTACCTTCAGTTTCTTTACATTTCCAACATTTATTATCGGGCAAGTGATAGATTTTTGCAAGCTTGACTGAGGTTATGTACCACCTGTATATCATTTTCATGATATTCTCTCTTAAGGCATTACATGCCGTAAATTTCATACGTGTGGTCCACAACTGTTCCCAGTCAGCAAACATAATGTTATGTCCAACGTCCTGTGCCCATTTAATCATAGCCGATTTTACCGTTTCATCCTGAGTATTCCATTTCAGCAGCAAGTTATACATTCCTGACAAATTCTTAGTTTTGGGTTCTAACAGTTCAGTTTCTAATTTTGATCTTTCCACCTGGAAGCCAATTTTCTTGTCCAATTTAAATGCCTCCATTATCTGGAAATAATGGAGCCAGTCTCGCACTTTGTTTTTTAATTTTTCAAAACTCTGCAATTTCAGTCTCTCTCTGTCTTGTTCCAAAATTTCCCAATATTTCGGCCATTTGACCTCCATATTAACCTTTTTCAAGGCTTTCGCTTCCATTGGTGACAGCCATCTTGGGGTTTTATTTTCTAACAAATCCTTATATCTTATCCAAACACTAAACAGCGCTTTCCTGACAATGTGGTTTTTAAATGCTTTATGTGCTTTGACCTTATCATACCATAGATATGCATGCCATCCAAATACATTATTAAAACCTTCCAAGTCCAAAATGTCAGTGTTTTCAAGAAGTAGCCATTCTTTCAACCAGCAAAAAGCTGCTGATTCATAGTAAAGTTTAAGGTCTGGCAGGGCAAATCCACCTCTTTCCTTTGCATCCGTTAGTATTTTAAATTTTATTCTGGGCTTCTTGCCCTGCCAGACAAATTTAGAAATATCTTTCTGCCACCTCTTGAAACAATCCATTTTGTCCACAATCTGCAAAGTTTGAAACAAAAACCACATTCTAGGCAATACATTCATTTTTATCGCAGCAATACGGCCTAGCAGTGAAAGCTTCAAATTTGACCAAATTTCTAAATCTTTTTTCACTTCAGCGGAAAAAAAAATAAAAATCTCAAGACTCGCAAGACATTTTCGTCTTGCAAAGCAAGCCCATAGAGAAATTCGTCCTGTGAAGCAACTCAAAAACGGAAAACCCTTTCGTCTAGCTGGTTTTCCGTCTTGCGAGGCATTTGTCTTGCGGGGCACCACTGTAATCCTAAATGCAAGTTCCTAATTTTCATCTCGAAAGTGAAGGTTTAACTCTTCCCTCTCCAGCTACAATCCCGACAGAAACCAAAGCCTATTCTAAGTGTGGATCTTATCTGAATCTCATTATGCGCACACGTCAAAACAGTAGGAAGCATGCAGGGCTTGTGTGGTAGAAAGTGTAAGAATCGGATGCCTTCACCTCTTTATTAATTATTTTAAAAAATTATATCCTGCCTATTTTCAAAAAAATGTTTTAAAAGAGCTTACAACCATAAAATATAAAACAACATAGAAGCAAAACCATATTTAGAGCACTGTATTTCCCTCTGTGGTGTAGGGCTGGACTAACATCCGTATTAAATGCTGAAAACATGTGCCACCCTGCTGCATGAAACTAAAGGTCTGACTCATTTAAGATGTCTGCAATAGCAGCCGATCAGATGTTTTTAGGAAGCTCACAAACATGACAGTGGAAGGCATCAGTACTCTCCCTGATGCCTCTTCCCTCAAACAACTGGCTTTTAAAAGTAATATCTGAGTGCCTTCGGATCAGAACCTATCATTGCTAATGCATTTGCAACCTTAGATGGCAGTTTGTTTTTTTTTTAAGAAACAGTTTATGCACTTCAAATATGACACTGGAGATTTATCTCATTATTTATTTTCCTTCCATCATGAGTTATTGTGAAGGCAAGAGTCCTGGTCTGATTTGCACAAATATGCACAAATATCTTTTGTTTGTTAATAATCACCCGAAGTTTGTTTAAAGGCAGCCCTTTACGCTCAGGCTGGCCCTTCTTAAAGCTGAATAATTGTTTGTGAATAAATATGTTCTGGGTAGCCTCCTAAATTAATAAGATGTCCTGTTGATGTGAGCCTGATTCTGTACCTTTTTGATTGATATTCAGTCTGTGATTTTGTTGTTTACTGCTTGAACATAAGCTGTTATGACTCAAGCCATAAATTTGTACTCTCTTGACCCCTTCTCCATGAATTTGTCTGCCTCCAAAAGCATCTAAGCCAGTGGTCATTAACAGTATTTTATGGGAGCATATAACTGTGCATGATGTACATGCACGAAGAAGTACTTTCTTTTGTTTCCTCTGAATCTAGTGCCAGTTGTTTTTATTGGATGACCAGTAAGGCAGCCTCAAGGCCACTACCTGCATTTGAAAGACTTGTGTTATCCACGGAGGTAATAAGGTCCAGGTATAACATTCAAAATCTATACAATTCTACTCAGTGCATAGGTGGGTCCACGAAATTAATAAAATAACAAAACAACAATGGGAAGTCAAACCAGAATTAAATTTATTAAATACATTTCAAAACAACAATCTGGATTTACACAATACAGAATTAATAAGCCATTTATTACAAGTGACAAGATGCAACATAACCAGACTCTAGAAAGACCTTTCTGGCACGACTATAGACAATTGGTACAGAAGAGTTTGGAAAATAGCTCTGCTTGAGAGATTAACAAATAAACTGCAGTTGACATGTGCACAGATCGAGAAAGATGGCTTTGTCCCGGTATGGTTTAATTTCATAACATATGCCATCATTCCAGAAAATGAACAAGACAGTTTAAGCAAATTACACCGATCCTGGCCTTAGTGCACTGGCTTCCAGTTAGTTTCTGGGCCCAATTCAAAGTGCTGGTTTGGACCGATAAAGCCTTAAATGACTTGGGACCATATTTCCTCAAGGACTACCTCTTCCCATATGAACCTACCTGGACCCTGAGATCATCATCCAGCCCTGTTCTTGCCGGGCGCCTTCATTACATAGGTTTAGGCTATGTAAGGAAGTTTTTAGCTTTAGGTAAAAATGTTTCTCTTCCCCCAGACCTTTGGCTGATTAACATTATAGGTAAAGGTAAAGGGACCCCTGACTATTAGGTCCGGTAGTGGCTGACTCTGGGGTTGCGGCGCTCATCTCGCTTTATTGGCCGAGGGAGCCGGTGAACAGGGCTGTCCCCTCTCCCCACTTTTATTCACATAAATAACTTTTTTTAAAGCAGCTAAATTTAGGAAAAATGAATGCATCAAGCATATTAAAATACACTCCTGATCTCACCTGTTGAGTATGTATGTTGATGACTCCCCTGAAGAAGCAAGGAGAGATTTAAAACAGGAATTTCAATCTTTTTATTGGGGCTCCGAGTAAACGTTGACAAGTCAGACTTGCTCTTTTAATAACGTGAACCCCAAAACACACTTCCAGTTCTCACAACTGTTAAGAGTCCTTGTAGTCCGCCCTGCTTTTCAGTACTTGGGACTGTGGGTAACCAGAAAGCCCAACAGATCATTTCCCGCTAATTATGGCCCAGTATGAAAATGCACTTCAAGCAATTTAATGAGGTGGAATAAGATGAATCACTTGCTCTCCAGTAGGCTCGCAGCAGTGAAAATGATGACACGAGAGGTTCCAGTACGGTGTTTTAAAACTTGGCAGCAAATATTAGAATCCTTCATATTTAAAAGTGAACGGTCACATACATCCAAAACCCTGAGGTACTGAAAAATGAGTGGAGAGGGATGAGGAGTCCCCTTGTTGAAATCATACTGTGAAGCCTACCAAATAAGGCATCTCCTATCCTTTATGAATGGCTCACGGGACACGCAGTGGGTGTAAATCAAACAAATTTATTGCAGCAGGCAAACCCTCAGATAACCCCATTCATAAAAATGGAGGTCTGCCGAGCTTGAGAAACATAGGATACAACAGTAAAAATGACCTTAAGGGTCTGGAAATACAGGAAGAGAGAGTATTGATGGCTGACATATCTTTATAAATTCCAACCCGTGGGCATCCAGACTTTAAGCTAAAAGAAAGAAGGATGAACGGTGAGGCTTTGAAATAAAATAAACTGAACAGGTTAAGAATGTTATACATTAATGCTAAACCCATTCCTAGAGAGACTTGGATAAAGCACCTGCAAATCTCCAGTAGTTCTTGGCCAGGAGTGGAGAACCTCAGGGCCAAATGTGGCCCTCCAAACCTCTGCCTGGCCCTCAACACTCTGCTTACGCCACATGCCCTGTGTTCCTGCTCTGCACTCTCCTGTTATTTTACTTATGTGTCCCTGAACTGGATGGAGGACGGAGCAAGCGCATGTCTGCCAACGCCATCGTTGCTGCATCAACCACTGGTGTGCAGGCGCTGGAAGGTTGCGCACAAGGGAATGTGGGTCTTGGGCTGCAAAGGTTTCCCACCCTGCCATGCACCACACATCTAGGTAGCCTTGGTAACTTGTCCTGCCAATCAGTGCATTCCTGTGCCGCTCAGCATCTCATGCTGAAGTTCACAGTGGAGAAAGCTTATTCAGTGCCCTAGTCACTGACTGTGGGATTGAGGATGCTTTGAACGACTGGTCTCAGAGATGGGGTCATTCATGGAGTCTGCTACCTCAGGGTGGGCTTGGCTGGACTTGGCAGCGTGTGGTGCTTTTGGATCAACATTGGTATGGCCTCTTATCTAGCTGCTTGAGGCTAGGGAGTTAAAGGGCAGGCTCTTGCATTGCTGTTTGAGGTGCAGAACTCTGAAATTATCATCACAGGGTAACTGATGCCCTAATGTGACTCAGTCAGGAAACACCAGCCATGCTTGTGCATGCACACCCACACACCATTTCCCCCTAATGTTGCCACCTAAAGCAGAGTAAGATGATGTGCTAATTGTGTACAAGTGCAGTATTTGTGCAGCTACAGGTAGTTGCAACTGTAAAGATAACAGAGAGCTTATTTGCTTGGTAATTGTCAGAGCAGGGACACAGACTAGCACCCCTTGAAATCTTAGGCTTCTTTTGCAGCAGTGGCTTACTGTGTGTTTGTGTTTTGTGATTTTAATATTCACCTGAATTCTACCCTCCTGCAATCCTTGCAACTGTTCTAGGTTGGAATGGATGTGCAGGGGGTGTAGCTGTGCAGGAAGGAACGTTTTGCTAGCTATCTGTGAGTGAATTCCAAAGGCTGAATTCCTGTAGGTGGCTTAGGTATGGATTGCTTCCCTCTCATACTGTAAATGTCTTTTTTGGCGGACTTCAAAATATGTTGGATAGATGTCTCTTACTATGTCACCCTTCATAGTGCTTAAAATCTTCCATCTTTATCTCATGCAGGATACTCCTGTGTGTACCCCAAGTTTCCTGGGCACCTCATTGTAAAGGGATGGCGATGATAAGAGTGACAGCTTGGCCTTACCCATAGTTTGGCCTCAGCGACCCAGTGGTTGGAGAGTACAGATATGTCAGTAGCATGGACTAGATCGCCAGTGGAGCCAGTGTGTTCCAAAAGCTAGATGGCATTGGTTGATTATCTCTCAGCCTCGGTTTTCCATGTGTAAAATGGAAACAGCAGCAACTGTTCTAACTAAGTTGTTATGAAGACAAGTGCAAAAATATTTAGCATGTTTTGCAAATTATAAAGAGCAATTTGAGTGGTAAATATTTGGGTTTTAGTTGTAAAGCCTGTTAGATAAATATTGCAATATTGTATAGTGATATGTAGCTGCTAAATGCAAATTACATTTTTTTAAACGGTGTTGGTACACTTTCATTTGAAGTTATCAAACATGGTGATGATTTAAGTGCACGTGTTGGCTTGGCTCCAGCTGTGGTTGTGAAACTGCAATTAAAACAATGTATTACTTGAACATCTGTGTTGTAACTTTGCATATGATAATACTGAGAAGCCACAGCCATCAGTAACATCAGCAGTAGAGACAGCAGGGCTGCCCCAAATACTTTGGGGTAGCTGAGGTGGAAAATCCAAATGTCAAGCCCCACTAATTAGCAGCCTTGCTGAAATGAACAACAGCATGTGCCCCATGTGTTCAGATTTCTGCCTACCTCCCCACCATCCTTAATGGTACCTAAAATGTGCCAGCAGTTGTAGTTGCTGTGTCATACTTTGTGGTGGGGCTGCGTCGTGTGTCCTGCCCACCTGATACGGCCACACAGGTAACCCTAGAATAGCCTGAAGGGCAGCCACCCTAAAGGAGATTCAGACAGAACAGCCCTCTTCCTTTGTGTGGGGGTGGGGGTGTGAAGAGATGTAAAATAATCCTATTCCTAGAAACATTTCATGCTGAATTCAAAAGAACTGTTTTTTGTCTGGTTTTGTTTCTTCCTTCTCATGGTCCGTTACGTGATAACTGGTTCGTGCTCATTGAAAGTGGAACGTGGAGCAAGAATTTCATATCTTTTGCCAAGCTGAGGAAAAATGACTACGCTAAAAAAAAAAAAAGACTTACTCAGCCCACAGTCAGCATAAAAACTTCCCACAACTATAAACCCCATTGCCACCTTTCCTATCTCCTGTTGTTGTTGTTGTTGCTACTGCTTAGTCATTTAGTTGTGTCTGAATCTTTGTGACCCCATGGACCAGAGCACGCCAGGCACTCCTGTCTTCCACTGCCTCCCACAGTTTGGTCAAACTCATGTTAGTAGCTTCGAGAACACTGTCCAACCATCTCGTCCTCTGTCGTCCCTTCTCCTAGTGCCCTCCATCTTTCCCAACATCAGGGTCTTTTCCAGGGAGTCTTCTCTTCTCATGAGGTGGCCAAAGTATTGGAGCCTCAGCTTCAGGATCTGTCCTTCCAGTGGGCACTCAGGGCTGATTTCCTTCAGAATGGATAGGTTTGATCTTCTTGCAGTCCATGGGACTCTCAAGAGTCTCCTCCAGCACCATAATTCAAAAGCATCAGTTCTTTGGCAATCAGCCTTCTTTATGGTCCAGCTCTCACTTCCATACATCACTACTGGGAAAACCATAGCTTTAACTATACAGACTTGCCTTTGTCGGCAAGGTGATGTCTCTGCTTTTTAAGATGCTGTCTAGGTTTGTCATTGCTTTTCTCCCAAGAAGCAGACGTCTTTTAATTTCGTGACTGCTGTCACCATCTGCAGTGATCTCCTGTGCTCTCCCAAAGCCTGGAATGGCTCACACTAGAATTGCTGAGTTGCAATTTACATTTTCCTCTAGTTCTGCTGTGCAAAATATTTGTGGTAGGCCAGGATGTTTTGCTGGGGTGGTGGTGGATTTGTTGTTGTGGTTGTGGTTGTTGTTGTGGTTGTGGTGGTGTTTGTTTGGCCTCAACTAGAGCCAGGGCTTTCTCGGCTGCGGCTCCAATCTGGTGGAACGCTCTGTCACAAGAGACTAGGGCCCTGCGGGGCGACTTCCGGGTTAGCGCCTCCGGCAATGGCGGAATTCCTCTGATCGGGAGGAACCTGCTCTGTGGAAATCAGGGTCTGGCCGCCACGGCGAAGGCGGAGACCCACCAAAAACCACAGGCAGGAGAAGCCTGTGGACGTGGGATTCGGCTGGCACCTTTTGCGCTCCCCCCCACTCGCGGGGAAACCCGGTTTTGGGGGTCCGGAGCGACGTGGGGTGAGTGGCGCGGTGCTTTGAATCGACTGCTTCTTTCACGGAGTGAAGCCGCATTGCCGTTGCCGGAGAGCGCTGACTTTTTTCCTGTGGACAATTGGACTTTAAACAACTACCCGTGAGTAGAGCGGAAAATTGGACCTTTAAACATCTTAATTCGGCACCGAAACGGGAAGGTTTCAAACAGGAAGTCCGCCTTCCTCTTTTGTAAATAGATAGAGCAAAGACGCTGCAAGCTAAAGTCTTGGAGAGCCTTTTGTAAAGGACTAAATTTCCATCAGTTAAAATTATTAAACCCCCCTTGGAAGCAGGAGAAGAGGGGGGAAATTTTAGGTTGCCAAAGCCTGCAAGAGAGAGAGTGAAGAAAGACTAATCACCACTGTTTTGAACCTGGGAACGGGCTGTCAGTAAGTTTGACGTTTTGGGAAAGTCCATTGACTGTGAATAAAATGTATGTTGACAGATAGTTAAATAAGAGAAATATATTGTTTCCATTGCTCCCTTTTGCACTTAAAAAGGAGCAAAAGTAACTGAAAGATTGAAACTAACTTTGCTGCTGGATCTGCGTTTAAAAGGACGGATACAAATAGAAATTGTTTCCTCTAGAGGGAGCTTTTGAAACTGTTGCAGGAGTGGAGCTGGGGAATTTTCCAGCTGCAGAGATAAAAGACCGTGAGAATCAGACATTGACCTTGGACAAGAATGTCGACAGAAGAAGCCTTAGTGATTGCATTTTGCAAGACAAGTGCTTTATTGGAACAGCTTCATGAGAAGATGGATGTGATGGCTATTAAAATTGACAATTTGGGACAAAAAATGACTGATTTGGGACAAGAAGTGAATATCTATACAGAAACTACTCAGGAATCGATCCAGGAATCTACTTCGACATGGCAAGTTGTGGAGAAGACAAGGGAGAAAGTTATTTTAGAATCTCAAGTAATATAAGTGGAGAGAGCCTCAGTCTTACAGAGACAATTTGATGAATATAAGCTGTTGCCTTCTATGTTTGAATTTAGAGAAAGCCAATTGAAACACGTCCTGAAATATCTTTTGGACTCTCGTTTTGATTATGGAGAATGGGCTGACCAGTCGAGAAGGAATAAAGACATTGTTAGGTTGGAGCTTCCCCGAGATCTACTCTTCAATGTCAAAGGAAGGAAATTAAGAATAAGATCAGCAGAAGACAAAGTAAAGTGTATGTATAAATATGAAGAAGATCTGCAGAAGGGACATGGAAAAGAGTTAAGAGCCTCGGACAGAAGATCACCAGGTTGATGGACCATGTGGATTGATAGAAAGGACCGGCAGAATCCGAGACCAGGGAGAAGAGACAGTGGAAGAAGATTGGGAAAAAAGTTTTAAAAATTTATTTATAGAAATCTTGTAAAATTAATGAGTGTTAGAAAAATGTTGGAATGAAAATACACGGCTTTAGTAGAAATGTTATAAGGAGTTAAGTACAAATAAGTTTCAGGGTATTAATGGTAAGATAAGGTTAAAATAAATTATGATAATTATATGATAGAAAATAGTGAAAGATGGAAAGGATTTGCTGAAACAATAACTAGAACACAAAAAAGGGAGGTGTGAGGAGGTCGATGAAACAAGTTAATGAAAGACAAAGATATGGAAATATTGGATGTGTTTTTAAATTGTTTTTGCTTTTGCTTTTGTTTTGATGTATTGTGTCTTTTGTTTTTTCTTTTTCTTATGTATAGTATTGATTTGCATTGTTTATTTTTTTTCTTTTTTTCCTTCTGTAATCTTTAAACCTTTAATAAATATTATTTTTAAAAAAAAAAAGAGAGAGAGACTAGGGCCCTGCGGGACCTGACATCTTTCCGCAGGGCCTGCAAGACAGAGCTGTTCCACCAGGCCTTTGGTCAGGGCGCAGCCTGACTCCCTCCTCTGGCAATCTGCACAGAATTTTGCTTAACGGTTGCCATCAATTTGATTTTAATTAATTTTTATAATGAAATGTTTTTAGAATGTTGGATTATTTGATTGTTGTTATCCGCCCTGAGCCCGGCTTCGGCTGGGGAGGGCGGGATATAAATAAAATTTATTATTATTATTATTTATTGTTGTTGTTTTGGATACTGAATGCAGCAATGAGTTGTAGTGAAAGATTTAGAATTCCGTGAAAATCCTGAGAAATGAATTTTATCTAGGCAAGTTATATGGTCTTGCTGGGCTCACATGAACTCTCCCAATACCACCTGCCCTTCTGAATAAGGGTCTCTTAATGAACATTGCATTAACTCCAGTCTTTGTCCCTTGTGGCTCAGTGTGGAAAACAAGTGTATTCTCACTGAGGTGGTAAATCTGTGTCTAGACTGTGCCGCTTTAGACTGCAAGGAGGTGTGTGTGTGGGTGGCAGTTTGATGATGGAACAATTTTCCATATATATAGGTTGTCTGAGAGAAAGGTAGGCTTCTTCCAAACATATTTTCAATATGCAGGGGGATTTTTGTTTGGCTGTATGTGTGTGAATCTCCACCTGCGCTTTGCATTTGCCACCTGAGTAAGAATTAGACTCATGTTTAGCCTTTCTTTCTCAAGTTCCGATTTGCTCCTGCTAGTTGTTGTTCTTTGCAATAATTTCAATTTTCTCTGATTTTCTTACATCTTGTGCTATTAGATGCTCTGCTGTTTGGGGCATACATCTCCCCCAGGGCTGGTCATACAGTTGAAGTATGCCGAATCTGTTTTGTGGTCTTTTAATAAGTGACATTTTCGCTTGCCCAGCAACAGTTCCATTGAGCTTGGAAATCCTCCCCCCCCCCATTTTGGGAACACAGTGTTTATGTGTAGCTGGAGAGAAATCTGGACTGATCTTCTGGAGAGAAACAAGAAAACAAGGCTTGCAATATCTAAACAAAAACTTCCATCATTGGGAAGGGACTCTGTGTTCCTTATGAAAGCATAAACATTTTGAGGAGCATGAAAGTTTCTAAAAAAGCAATGTGGGCAGCTAGGAGCTCTGCAGCTTTATGTTAACGGTATCATTGGTCTGGCAGTGCAAATACTTCTAGCCTGGATCACAGATAGAGCAGACATATGGTTGCTGTATGGAGAAACTCTAAAATGCAATACTAGGCAAATTCTGCTCAAAAAGAAAAGGTGATTTGACAGATTAAGCATAATCTAACACAGTTTCTGCATGTCATTCTGAATCCAGAATCCACAAATGCTGAATTCCTTAGGTTGAGTTATGGGGTAAATAATTGTTTCCCAAAGGGGGTGATGCTGCCCCCTGGGGGTGCTGGAACAATCCGTGGGGCAGTAGTAGCCTTGAGTGCAATTGGAGGGGCATTGAATAAAAACAAGAGGGAGGTGGAAGCATAAAGAAGAGAAAAGAAGAAATTTTTGAAAAACTGTGCATACATGTTTCATCTGCTGTGCAATGACACTTACCATCAGGTCGGGTGCTGTTGTGAAACAGTGACAATTCCTCTTCTGGATCTGGCTGCCGTGCTGGAGGCGAGGGGTTTTCCTGGGCTTGGGTGAACCCTTTCCAGCTTCACCCAGGCCTGGGAAGTGGCCAACTGTAGGCGGGCTGTGGGTCCCTGGGACTAATCGGACCGAGTCGGAAAGCTTCACTCTGGTCCGCCCCGTGGGTTTTTAATCCCAGGGCCTAGTAGATTTCCAGGGGACGCTGAGCAATTATTATTATTTTCTGAAAAGGGAGCAGTAGGCCAAATAAGTTTAGGAACCTCTGGGACAAATGAACAACATTAAGGGCTCTCAGATACAAGAGAACAAGACTGAAGGATGTAATAGTGGAACATATGAGTTATCAAGACTTGGCACTAATGGAGAAGTTAATGCATGAAGTCAGGGTGGTGATGTGAAAGACTTGGACTCTGGAGATTCGGAGTAGATCATACTTGGCTGGATAGACAAAAATAGGTTGGCCTGGTTAGGCAAATAGCCTGGCTACTATAGACTGTGGGCTGGCTGCTGTAGGCAAATAAACCAGCTCCTAGGCATGAAATCTATGTCCTACCTCCAGTGTCAAAGGCAGTATACCTCTGAATATTATTTGCTGGGAATCACGAGTGGAGAGAACTGTCGCACTTATTTCCAGCCTTTCATGGTCATCTGACTGGCCACTGCAAGCGCTGGATTAGATGGGCTTTTTGGTCTGGTCCAGGAGGGCTCTTACGTTTTGGTATAAGGCAGCTTCCTGCGCTTTGACAAATGTTTTTAAACGAAAGCTCTCACAGGCCATTCTGCCTTTACAAGAGCTGCCTTTGCCCTCTCTTCCCACACCCTGCTGTAGCTACAGTTCTGCCTATCCTTACACCCAGAGGTTTGCACTTCTAAGCTGCTGTGTGCGAAATGTTCCCGTAAGGCCCTGCAGCATATGCAGACGCCACAGGCCTGGAGGACAGAGAAGAATGGGGCGATATAACTGCTTCTTTTGAAGTATATAACACCAAAGGTCCAAGTGGACTTACAGCCACTCCTTGGCGCTGGAAATGAGGCAAGGATGGAGTGCTGTTGTTTCCTCTTGACAGTAAAGGTCACAGGACATGAATAGTTGCTTGTTTGCAACACAGCCAGCTAATGGCTCCTCTATGCAAATTGTGTAGAGTCTCTGACATTTCAAGAGGACCCCCACCTCTTCCTCACTGCTGACCGACAGTTGCCTTTTTATAGCATCCCACTTAAAGGTTAAGATGATGCCTCAGAGAGCAAAGTGGGATGCAATGCACAGTGCACATCAGGGCAAATGTGTGTCTGATGAGGGGCTATCATCTTTATGACATTTCTTCCCACCCCGCCAGCCTTTCGTTCATTCACTTGATATATGGTGAGAACGGGGCAAATAACACTTTTCTCTGTGCACTTTATTTGCTTTCTTGTATATAAAAAGGAAAACTGCCTCTAAATGTCAGAATGGATAGGTATCTGGAAAGGAGACATTTGCATGTTTCTTGCAAGCGTGTGTGTTTTAATTGTGATATCTGCTTTAAAAAAGAAAAAAAGGAGGGAACACTTTGGTGGGGAGGGAGGAGGGCTGCTTGACCACTTCCCTTCCACTGCTTGTTTCCTCCAAATCACAGACAACTGGTGATGTTTGTGTTCCTTCTGGATCTGTTTACAAGGAAGTTAGTATTCCCTTACTAACCCAGAAGGAAACGGCACATACTCAGCAAGGTGGGCTCTGATTGCCTTGATTCTGCTCCCAAGCATTTGAACACTGGTGCTCCAAAAGCTCACCCAGTTCCTAAGCACCCTTTCCTTTGTTCTGTGGAGAGGGAAAGGGACAGAGTGGTGTGTATAACCCTGATCGATTCTCTGTTAAACCATTGGTGAGGGTTCAAAGTGCATGAGGTTGAGAGGAGCGGGACAAGCAGAACTGCACATGACAGAGCTTTCTTCACTCCTCTTTTTGAAGTTAGAGATGGAGAGAGAGTTGCATAAAGTACTTTGGTGCCTGTTCTGTGTGACTTACCTGGAATGGGGTAGGGGGGAACCTAAAAAAAGTGATGGGAAGAGAATAGAGCTCATTGTTCTGCTGCTGGGTCAGGATGCTGTCAGCGGCTCCCGGCTGGTTGCCCAGGAAAGTATAAAGACAAGGGAAGGTTTCTTACCGTCATTTTTTATTTTGTATTTACAGAGAGAGGCTATGGAACCCAGCCTTGCCGTGGGCAGGGGAAACAGAGAGGAGGAAAAACCAGGGAAGGGAAGGTTGATGGGATCTTTGATTGGTAAATAAAAAAGACGGCTGGTTAGCCTGCATAGGAGAAGAAGCTGGGTGTTGGTAGAAAGGCATGCCTGGTAGATTAGTATGAAGAGTTGTGCAAATGTGACATCAGCAGTTACCCTTGCTTATGTATTTGGGATTTCAGTGTGCATGTGTGAGTGCTTCCACTGGCACAGCTATTGGTGCTCATGGATCTGCTGCATTCATTTTAAAATGTGCTTCCAAGATGAACTGCAGATGACCGGCCTGCTGAATCAGCATGCCAGACAAAGAGAATCAACATCAGGACTGCAGATTTCCATGCTGGTTGCTGTTCAACCTGATGGTGTGCTAGGACAGGTGGGAAAGTAGCTGTCACACCAAACAGTGACTGTAGCTTCAGACTCCCAAGCTAGTGCCAGGTCCTTGTTGGTACCCTCAGTTGGTACTTATTCCTAGCTGATTGCTGCTGCTGCTGCTGCTCCCATACAACTTGTGCTGGGCAGCAATATTGAGGTTCTCATATAGTGTTTTCTGTCCCCATATCTGATTCCATCCTCTAGCTGTACCTTGAAAACACAAACTAAGAAGTGCCCTTTCTTGGTGTGGTCTGCCTTGTGCATACTTGCCACTTATTCTCAGTAATAATCCTCACCTAGAACCCTCAGCTGTGCACCAGAAAACGTTGCATTGTGGGTGGTGTGTCCGGGTACCAAGTGTGCAGCTAGGAAGGAAATGTATATTGCCTCTGCTGCTGCTTTGTGCTTGGCAGCTCTTCAGAGCAGATGGTTGGAAGGAGTTTGGAAGGAGCGATTACCAGGCAATTTTGAAATCGGTGACAGAGCTGGCGCGGAGTCATTAATGAGTGTGCCCAGTGTGCATGCGTGTGCGTGTGAGAGAGAAAGAGCGCACACTGTTGTTATAAGCTTCATCATTTTTGTTCTTTTCAATCTGTTTCTTTTTGAGGATGCAGGATAAATAGATGCAGAAGTAAACAAACAAAAGGCCCAGCCTGCTGCACCAACCTGTTTTTCTGGGAACGTGTTAGATTCCTCCTGCGTGGCTTCTGATGTGAAATGATTGGAAGGGGGTTGTGGGGATGCGTGTGTTTTTTAAAGTATAAAACAGCCCTAAATGGAGCTAAGATCTAAGTAAGTACAGAATCTGTTCTACACACATAGGGGAAGAAGATGAATCTTGAGGTGCATCTACATCAAGAATTTAAACAGGGAAGCCTAGAAACTGTAGTGCCGTAAGGGTGTCTACAGATTCTACTAAAGCCTCAACAAACTACAGTTTCCTGTGTTTATTGTTTTGTTTTGTTTTGTTTTGTTTTATGGGGATGCCATGGTAGTTGCACTGGTAGTAATATACAGTTATGGTTCAAATTAAAACCCAGAATACCTGGCAAATTTAAATCTAAGAGCACCAATCATAGGAGTTCTGGTTCTCGGTTCTGATCTGCTCATCTCCTCTCCGTGTGGTATCTACCGTGGCTACAGATGGGCCAGCTCAATCTATGTTGCTGCTTGAGCAACACAATCCCAACCTCACTTTTAGTCAAGCTTGACCACAGCCAGATTATTGTTACAGGCCATCCCAGTCCCTGCTGAGCCATGTACAGGATTCTAGGGGTCTTGGCCCTCAACCAGGGTCTGTGAAGAAGAAGAAGAAGAGTTTGGATTTGATATCCCGCCTTTCACTCCCTTTAAGGAGTCTCAAAGCGGCTAACATTCTCCTTTCCCTTCCTCCCCCACAACAAACACTCTGTGAGGTGAGTGGGGCTGAGAGACTTCAAAGAAGTGTGACTGGCCCAAGGTCACCCAGCAGCTGCATGTGGAGGAGTGGAGACTCGAACCCGGTTCCCCAGATTACGAGACTACCGCTCTTAACCACTACACCACACTGGCTCCTTTGGAGAATTGAAGATCCTGCTGAGACTGTTGTAGCTCTAAGAAAGATTATTAATTCACATATTTGCACTTGAATTTAGATCGAGGGAGTCCAGATCTTATAGCATGGTCAAGAAGGGCTTGTTCCCCATGGTAGTGCAGCACTGGAGTCCAAAGCATCTCTCCCTGCCTGCCTTCAGCCAGCTAAGATCTTTCTGCCCTTTTCTTAGCTATTCCAAGCCGCCTGCCAAAGGCCTCAAGCTCTTCCTGTGTGGCAACTTTCCAAATCCGCTGTCTCTCTTCACACTTCAGGGCAATGGGGAGAACAATTCTCTTCCTTTTGCCATTGGCTCTCAGTGGCCCTGTATTGTTTCTTAATGGCCCTAGCTTGGCCAGGTTCTTCTGCATAGGCTAACCCAGGAATTCCTCTGCAGCTTGTATTTTTCCTTCATATTCAATGCAATCAAAACCCTACCATTTATTAATTTATGGGGTGGGGTTTTTTGGGGGGGGGTCTTCCCACAAACCTATAACATTATTTTGGCACTGGAAGCAGAAAGTCCCACAGTCACCTCTCTGCCTTCCCAAAATACTACAAAAACACTGAGCTGAATAACAATTTATTGCCCTTTGGGGAATCTTGCACCTCTCACAGATCCTAACACAACAAGATTAAAAACCTTTGACACTCTCCAGGAAGAATTAGATTTTGCAGCAATTTGGCAATTCCTACAGCTGAAATGCAGCTTAGTGGAAAAATTAAGACCAGATGTGCTAAGTGCTGCAGCAGACACCACAGATCTGATGGAAACTGAATGCTCTGTAGCGTTGTTCTCCAGAAATGTTAACTGAACGTTAACTATATTTTTCAGTATGCAACACAATAAGGCCTGCTGTAGACCCTATCAGCAACAAATAGGGTAACAAACTTAAAACCAAACGAACACCTGCACAGTGGCAAATGGTGCTAATGCAACATTAAGCCAGCCTGTAAACCTGTAATGTTAGGCTAAGGTTCCTCCAACAGAAAGTACTGCACTGAGCCTCTTGGACTATTGGATACCAGCATGCATTAAGCGGGTGGGCATTGTGCCCGCAGATGAGCACTGGCAATCTGAGCAGCCACAGGCAGACCTGATACACTTCCTGTGGAAATGCCCAGTTGTATAGAGTTGTTCTGGAAAGCAGTACATACCAGAATCAAATTGGTCTGGGACAGCGACTTCTTGGGAGATGGGAAGCATCAGTCCTATTACCAGTGGCATACCTGTCAAATGGGAGTTGTCAGGACAGGGGGAAAAATCGGTTCATCAGGTGACGTTAGCAGCAAGATGAATAATCATCCCAACTCTGGAAATCCTAAATTATGCTGGGCACAGTTATGCAAGATCTTCTGCAGCTGGCAACCCATGATAAAATCCTGTTTAATAATCTGCAAAATGACATAAGCTTCCAGGAGATTTGGAGAGAATTCCTGGAGCTCCTAGAATTATAGAACTGCAGAGTTGGAAGGAATCCCAAGGGCCATCCAGTCCAGCCCCCTGCAATGTGATTCCTGCAACCCAGAGAATTGGGGGACAGAATGCAGAAATTGGACCCTTTCCAACTTAACCTTTCTGACTCATTTGTATACTTCCTTCCTCACTTGGCTAACTACCTCAGTGCTATTTATTCACTTCAGTCCCTGTCTGATTAACTACCCATCATGTATCCATTAATGAATCTAGTTGAGATTCCTGACTCTCTCCTGGCTCTCCCCAGACCCTCTTTAACTGCTACAGCCTGTATGGTCCTCTCCAATCTTTGGTCAACCAAGTGGGGGCAAGAACATCCTCCTCTGGATTACATAAATGTGAAGGAAAGGTGTGGTGAAAGGCAGGTAGGGCATTCCCTGGATCGAGTCTCACAGATTCAGTGAGTACACCTCCATCGACATTCTGTGGTGGAGTCTCCCTAACCAGAATCTCCAACCTGCTTCCATATTTCCTCAGAATTTGGCAATGACCCTTCGTTGCTTCAGTAATGGTCCTGAAAAAAACAACAACAGAATCTTGAGTGGCTAAGTTCCAGTTTCTGGTTTGGAGTAAGGGCTTGTGGAATCCAGGACGGTTGCTAGATGTTTCTCTACAATGAGTGTGATATAGTTGGTTGTGTGAAGGAAGGTCAGAAAATTAGAAGTCCCAGTTCCTGATCTTCCTGTGTTTGGAAGTCAAATAGGATCATAGTGAATTAAAGTGGCAAGAATGAGAATTAAGTTGCTTTGCCCTTTGCCTCTGGCAGCAAAATGTCTTGGGCTGGCCCTAAATGTAGCATCATCACTCCCTGTGGGCAATGCCCACTTAGTTTGAGGTTAAAACATTTTGTAAATTTGTGTCCAAGTTGTAGTTCATGAAGGGTCGCCACAACTATTAAACTGTGGCTCCCCACAGTGCTTACTACATCCTCCCACTTCACTGAAGTATTAAAGCCATCCGTCAGGAGCTGCCAGACGGCGCCATTAATAATGGATTGGCAGCACAAATTGTTTGTCTGGAACGGATACTCTGGAATGACGGAGGCAAAAAGCCTGGCCAGGGCAACTGTGCAGAGAGAAATATGCAGGGTGGGTCAGTTGTTTGAAAACATGCCAAACTAGATGTGCCAAATTTGCCCATGTTAGTTTGTTCATCAGCCTGCCTTTGTCATGTATAAAGCAGTGGGTGGTGGGGTGGATCTGACTGTCCAAGGACTATGAGAGCTGAAGCCTCCAACAGTTCAGTGCTCCAGCAATTCAGGCTTTTTTTTCCATTTAAAAATAATTTATTTGCCACAGCATATATTTCAAACATTCTCATAATCTTAAAAACCATAAAACAATACATGATGTGTGTTCAATAAAATCACCCCAGACTGCGTCGAAGTTATCGTTTTTCTTTTGGCCTCTTGCTACCTGCAGTTTCTATGTTAGCTTTTCCAACAACGCTGTCTGCCAGACCACTTCATACCATTTATCCATGGTCAACAGCTGCAGTGTTTTCAATGTTCTGGCTATGGTCGTTCTTGCTGCGGTCAATAAATAGGTTATAAGATCTTTATTTCTAATTCTTGGTGAGTCCTGGATGAACAAATTAAGCAATGCCAGTCCTGGGGACATAGGTACTGTCTGCCTTGTAATCAAAGATATATCTGCAAAGATGTTTTCCCAGAATTTTTCTATTTTTGAACACTCCCACCACATATGTCTGTATGTCCCAATAATGGGACACTCTCTCCAACACATAGGAGAGCTGTTGGGTTTTGTATAAGCTAGACATCTAGGTGTTAAATACCAGCCATGTGCAATTTTGAGGGCTCTTTCTCTTGTCATATCTGAAATAGATTTATAATGGGCTTTGATCCACAGTCCATTCCATGCCTCGTTTTTTCTCCTTAGATCAGCTCACTCCCAGCATTGTATCCAGTTTGGGAGAGAAGTGCTTATGGCCATGAGCTGTCTGTCGCGGAACAGGTGGCTAAGGCAAGAGAAGAGGAGGTTCAGTTCCGTTGACCTATGGGCACTCTTTGTTGTAAAACCTAGAACATGCCCACCCCACACTTTCCATGCGAGTGGATCAGACAAGTGAACAGGGCTGCCCCATCACATTTAGGTTGGCCACAAGGCAGACAGAAGAGATATGAAAACATATGCTACCTTCCTTCTGTTCTGTCTGCTTTGTGGCCAACCAAGATGTGATGGGGCAGCCCTGTCTGATCCACTCGCATGGAAAGTGTGGGGTGGGCATGTTCTCCCCCAACCTGGATACAATGCTGGGAGGGAAGAGGGAACAAGCTTGTTTTCTCTTGCTCTGGAGGGTCGGACCTGAACCTGTAGATTCAAGTTACGAGAAAGGAGGTTCTGACTCAACATCAGGAAGAACTTTCTGACATTAAGAGTTGTTTGACAGTGGAATGGATTCTCTCAGAAGATGGTAGTCTCTCCTTCATTGGAGGTTTCATTGGGGTCCTTTCCAACTCTATGCTTCTATGAAAATGTGGTTAACCCAATCTTGCTGTGGTTAATTCTGCTGAATGGGGCCTTGGACTTCTGCCCAAAGTCTTGCCCTGATGGCACCATTGTTTCTGAAATCCTTGGAAATGGCTTTACTGCTGCTACTGCGTTTATATCCCACCTTTCCACGGGGGAGCTCAAGGTAGTACACATGGTTCTTCCCCTACTCACAACAACACTGTGTGGTAGGCTAGGCTGAGAAATAAGGACTTGTCCAAGGTCACCTGCAAAGCAGGGGCAAAACAGGGAAGGGGTGTGTATTTCCTCAGACCCAAATCAACCCTCTAACCACTATACCACACTGATATCGCTAGCTGAGAACACCAAAAAAGTGTAGTCCAGATGGACGTTGTGACTATATTGATCAGCAAGAGCCTGCCAGGTGACCCCTTGTTTCAAATATTTGGTTTAGGTGAACCACACATGGTTGTTTGAAGAGGCCTTGGGAGCAAATTTGAAAAGTGAACTCAAATTTTATTTGTTGTTGTTGTTTAGTCTTTTAGTCGTGTCCGACTCTTCATGACCCCATGGACCAGAGCACGCCAGGCACTCCTGTCTTCCACTGCCTCCCGCAGCTTGGTCAAACTCATGTTAGTAGCTTCGAGAACACTGTCCCACCATCTCGTCCTCTGTCGTCCCCTTCTGCTTGTGCCCTCCATCTTTCCCAACATCAGGATCTTTTCCAGGGAGTCTTCTCTTCTCATGAGGTGGCCAAAGTATTGGAGCGTCAGCTTCAGGACCTGTCCTTCCAGTGAGCACTCAGGACTGATTTCCTTCAGAATGGAGAGGTTTGATCTTCTTCCATGGGACTCTCAAGAGTCTTCTCCAGCACCGTAATTCAAAAGTATAAATTCTTTGGCGATCAGCCTTCTTTATGGTCCAGCTCTCACTTCCATACATCACTACTGGGAAAACCATAGCTTTAACTATACGGACCTTTGTTGGCAAGGTGATGTCTCTACTTTTTAGGATGCTGTCTAGGTTTGTCATCGCTTTTCTCCCAAGAAGCAGGCGTCTTTTAATTTCGTGACTGCTGCCACCATCTGCAGTGATCATGGAGCCCAAGAAAGTAAAATCTCTCACTGCCTCCATTTCTTCCCCTTCTGTTTGCCAGGAAGTGATGGGACCAGTGGCCTTGATCTTTGTTTTTTTGATGTTGAACTTCAAATTTCATTAATAGTAGTTAAATTTGCTGCTGTGTTCATGCCATGCAGCTGAGCATGCAGCATCCTACCACAGGCTCCCTCCCTCCCATCTCCTCTCCTGTCCTGATGGTCTCACTGTCCCAGGTAGGAGCCATTTCCCATATATGCTGTTCTGCTGCTGTTTGCAAAACTCAGTGCTGCTCAAGCAGCAGAATTAAAAATGTATGTGGACACGCTCTGATGTCTCACAGCATGCCCCCCCCAAACAAACAAGCAGAGACAGGCACTCCACAGTGCCTAAAAGGGAGGGCAGAAATTCCTTCATCCCGTCCTCACGAGGAGAAACAGACTCTGATATACTGGTGACACTGGCAATACCTGCCAGGGTGCCACGAAGGAGGGTGCCCCTACCCTAAGGCTGTGTAAACATAAGCAAGTGGGTTGCAAGCTTCCACAGCACTGAAATCCAAATGGAAAAATCAAAAGAAGCACTAACAAACTTCATAAGGGCACTTGGCCTGCTGGTGTAGGATACAAGTTTGATAAATACATAAATACATAAAATACATTTTTGGTGCCAGCCATCTGGGGTGTGCACTTTTGTTTCACTTGTCCCACTTGCTTCTGGGGACATGAAACTCACTGGGTGGCCTTAGGCCAGTCACAGCCACTCAGCCTAACCTCCCTCACAGGGTTGGTTGTGAGGATTAAAATGGAGAGAGGGGGAATCATGTTTCCACATCTTAAGCTCCTTGGAGGAAAGGTGGGATATGAATAAATAAAGGTTTCAGGGAGTGGGAGGAAGAACCTGTGGAAGTATGAGCTGAAGACGCTGCTTCTGTGTGCTGTTCTGGCTGCCTTAAGTCATACTTCTCGGCCTCCATTGCATCCGCAAGCTCTCGCCCGGCGCAATTATTTAGTATAATCAGGTCTTTAACGTCCCTTGAGGGACAGCCAAATTTAAATAACAATTTGACACACAGCTGTGAGGCATTTGCGAGCTTTTTTGCGGAGAAGGTCTTGTTGCTCCGCCATGACCTCCCGGCCAATTTGGATACAATAAAGGAACTGGAGGCCCCTCGACTGTCCTCGGGTCCAGTATTGGACCACTTCGACCGGATATCCCCAGCCGATGTGGACAGACTCCTCCGAGCTGGAAAGCCCACCACCTGTCCTCTCGACCCGTGCCCGTCTTGGCTGATTAGAGCGTGTCCAGACGAGGTGCGGGCCCTCCTTGGGGATATCATCAATTTGTCCCTTGGCACGGGGACATTCCCAGGGGAACTGAAGGAGGCAGTGGTGCGCCCGCTCTTAAAGAAAACATCATTAGATCCTTTAGATCTATCCAATTACCGCCCGGTTTCGAATCTTCCGTTCCTGGGTAAGGTGATTGAGAGAGCGGTTGCTGAACAGCTTGGTGGTTTTCTGGATGAAACATCGGCTCTGGATCCATTCCAGTCCGGCTTCCGCACTGGTCATGGGACCGAGACGGCTCTGGTTGCCCTAACAGATGATCTTCGTAGACAGCTGGATCGAGGCGGGTCGGGGCTGCTGATTCTTCTAGATCTGTCAGCAGCTTTCGACATGGTCGATCACGAACTTCTAGACCACCGCCTTGCCGACGTGGGGATCCAGGGCACAGTCCTTCAATGGCTGCGCTCGTTTCTCTCTGGTCGGGGACAGAGGGTGGCGCTTGGGGGGGAATTGTCATCGCGCCACTCCTTGGTGTGTGGAGTACCTCAGGGTGCGATACTCTCCCCGATGCTTTTCAACATCTTTATGCACCCTCGCCCAGCTTGTTCGGAGTTTTGGGCTGGGTTGCCATCAGTATGCCGATGACACCCAACTCTATCTGTTGATGGATGGCCATCCTGACTCGGCCCCAGACACACTGACTAGATGTTTGGAAGCTGTGGCTGGATGGTTTCGTGGGAGCCGGTTGAAGCTAAATCCTTCGAAGACAGAGGTCCTGTGGCTGGGACGGGGCGATATGGGATTGGGGGCAACTCCCTTCTCTTGCGGGGGGCAATTAGTGCCAGCACCGTCCGTTAAGAGTTTGGGTGTAATCTTCGACACCTCCCTTTCCATGGAGGCGCAGATTGCAGCTATAACAAAGGCGGCATTTTTCCATCTCCGCCAAGCTAAGCAGTTGGCTCCTTACCTCTCTCGCCCTGACCTAGCCACTGTGATCCATGCGACGGTCACCTCCAGACTGGATTATTGTAACTCGCTCTACGTGGGGCTGCCCCTGAGACTGACCCAGAAACTCCAGCGGGTGCAGAATGCTGCAGCGAGACTCCTTACGAGGTCTTCGCTGCGAGATCACATTCACCCGGTGCTATACCAGCTGCACTGGCTCCCGGTGGAGTACAGGATCAGGTTTAAGGTGCTGGTTTTAACCTTTAAAGCCCTATACGGCCTAGGACCCTCGTACCTACGGGACCGCCTCTCCTGGTATGCCCCACAGAGAAACTTACGGTCTTCGAATAAAAACATCTTGAAGGTCCCAGGCCCCAGAGAAGTTAGGCTGGCCTCAACTAGAGCCAGGGCTTTTCGGCTGTGGCTCCGATCTGGTGGAACACTCTGTCACAAGAGACCAGGGCCCTGCGGGACTTGACATCTTTCCGCAGGGCCTGCAAGACAGAGCTGTTCCACCAGGCCTTTGGCCAGGGCACAGCCTGACTCCCTCCTCGGCAATCTTCGCGGAGCTCTGGCCCAATGGTTGCCAGTGGCTTGAATTAATTAATTTTATAACGAATGATTTTAGACTGTTGTTTATGCTGTACTTTTGTACTGTTTTATTGTTGTTAGCCGCCCTGAGCCCGGCTTCGGCTGGGGAGGGCGGGATATAAATAAAATTTATTATTATTATTATTATTATGTCCCAAAAGATACATGGAGATGGA